TGGAATGAGGGGGTGGCAGGACCCAGACCTGTTCGTCTTCTCTTCTTCTTGCTAGCATTTATTATAAAAGAGGAGGCATTACAGCCCAAAGATGTGCCAGAAACTTAGTGCTTCTTAGATCTCCCTCATCCCCAAGAACTTCTCCACCCACCTTTACTCACGGCAGCTTCTGAGACAGTGGAAATGTTCTATTTCTTGAGCTGGGTGATGGTTACCTGGGTACAGTGAGCTGGTGAGAATTCGGTGAGCTGGACACTTACTTTTTTTGTGTTTTTCTATATTATGTCATGCTTTAATAAAAAGCTTACTAAAAATAATATTGGCTGTTTAGAACTACCCCAGGACCAGAACAATATTCCCTCTTTTAACTGAAAAGTATATTCCTGTAGTCCAAAGAGGCTGAAAAAACCTTGTCCAGTGCTGCCGGATCAGGGTTTAAGTAGCCGTAGGAGATGAAAGGGCCAAGAAGGTTCAGGGGCTCTTTGGCAGAAACTGAGACATTCCTTTTACTTTCCCCTCAGAAGCAGAAACACACACACACACACACACACACACACACACACACACACACACACACACGCTACCTGTGGCACAGACTTAATAGCTCTCTATAAACTATTTACCTCTCTCTCCCCCTAGGCATCCAGCTAGACTGCATTCCCTCGCCTCCCCTGCAGGTAGGTGCAGCCATATGACTGAATTCTGTACAACAGAATGACCAAAGTGGGCAGAAGTGATGAATGCATATTCCACGCCTGGCCCCCAAACACCCCAATGTACAACCCTTGATTATCTTTCCCAATCTGCTGCATGAATGGAAAGTTCTCTGAGGACCTGGAGGAGGGTGGAGCCGGGAGATGGAAGGAGCCTGGCATTTTTCCAGACCAAGCCTCTGGCTGAAAATAACTAGAAAAGGAGGACAGACTATGTATTATTTAACCTACGTGATGGCATCAAAGAGCAACCAAGGGCTTGCAGAAGCAAGATCCAGGGAGAAGGAGAGCCCAGCCGTCCGACCCAAATGTTCAGCCACCCATTTCTCCGTAGGATATTTGCCAAGTTGCACTTTGTTGGTTGTAGAGCTGGTCAGGAAGCTGCAGCAGGGAAGCGGAGCAGAACTCTTGACAGTCTCCTACCAGACTGCAGGTATAACCACTGGAGCTCAAGACATGCCGATCGGGAGAAGACGTGATAAGCGGCTCAGGTTTTCAGTTGGGATCTTAAATATCTACAGCCTAGAAATAAGAGAAGGGTCTTAGCCAAGGTTCCCTCGAAGACAGAGCCCAAGGCAAAGGCTTGCGTGTTGGCACTTGGCTCAGAAATACAATAGCAGGGAAGCTGGGCGAGGAAGAAGGGGACTGAGGCTGAGGGGGAAGAACAAATACAAGGGAGTGTCGCAGTGGGCTATACAAGTGCAGTTTCATGAGAAATGATATTGTGCCTCTGAGCAGTCCTTCCAAAGCATGCAGGTTGAGAATTTCCCTGCCAGTGCCTTCCCTCCTCTTGTCCCCTAGGAAAAATGTTCACTGCAGAGTTGACTCCACATACCCAGATTGCACCCCAGTCCCTTCAGCAGACTCATCCCGCACCCTTTACCCCACCTGCATGCAGAAGTTGTAGGGGAAGCCAGAGACACTTCCCAGAAGACTGATATGTCAGGATAGTGCTGATGTGAATGGCTTTTTCAGAGTCAGTAACCCTTGTGTTGGTCAGGGCTGAACAAGTGACCAATAGCCCTGGAGACAGGGGAGGCTCATGGAATACGAAAAAGAATATAAGAGATATTTGATACAATGAGTGGAGGCTAGCCAGATCAATGAAACGTGTTTGCATTTGGAAGATCTGTATAACTCAGTGAACCAATATTTTCCAAATGACTGATGTTATGATTTTTATCAAATCATGCATGGCTAAGGGACCCACTCAAGATGTAATATAGACCAATCGATTTTAATGACACTGAGTTAAAAGTTTATTGATTTCAGATAGTATCTTGCAATTAACATTTAAGAAACTACTACTTCTTGAGTTTTGGTATAGTATCAAAGAAGAACATCTGTAATTATCTGAAAAGCCTATCAAACTCCTCTGTTCTTTCCCAAATACATATCTGCATAAGGCTAGATTTTCTTCATATACTTCAAACAAAACAACACATAGCAACTGACTGAAAACAGGAGACATGAGGCTATAGCTATCTTCTGTTATACCAGACATTAAAGAGGTGTGCAAAATTATAAAACAATGCCACTCTTCCACTAATTGTTTTGTCTCATTAGTGTTTTAATATTTTATCATTTTATTGTAATATTTTATTAAAAATATATTTTAATAACCACAATAACTAATTGTGATATTATATTTAATATAGTTATAATTATATCATATAATTATTAAAATATGATTATTCATAAAATACATTTTGTTTTATTTATTTATTTTTTTGAGACAGAATTTCACTCTGTTGCCCAGGCTAGAGTGCCGTGGCGTCAGCCTAGCTCACAGCAACCTCAAACTCCTGGGCTCAAGCAATCCTACTGCCTCAGCCTCCCCCCGAGTAGCTGGGTCTGCAGGCATGCACCTCCATGCCCGGCTAATTTTTTCTATAAATTTTTAGTTGGACAGTTAATTTCTTTCTATTTTTTGGTAGAGACGGGGTCTCGCTCTTGCTCAGGCTGGTTTGGAACTGCTGACCTTGAGCGATCCACCTGCCTTGGCCTCCCAGAGTGCTAGGATTACAGGCATGAGCCACAGCCCCCCGCCTATAAAATACATTTTAATGTTAACATATTACTTGTTTACATGTTACCATTTTAAAATAAATACATATTTACTTTTTTCTCGGTTTTAATTTCCAATAAAATAAATATTGATAGATATAACCCACAAAAGGTCTTCTGAGTCCTCAATAATTTTAAAGAGGGCCAAGGGGTTCTAAAGCCAAATATTAATAGTTTCAGAACTGTCATTGTAGAATAACTACCTGGTAAAATGCTCATAAAGGACGACTAAGTTTATAAAGCAGGCGGCAAGCACTAAACAGGGCAGGAACTCTGTGTGTTTAATATTAAGTAGCTATAGATGTGAAGGCCGGGAGAGGAATATTTGTTCCCTCCTAGCAATGTGCTTAGGGTAATCTTTATATTCTTTTTAGCCTTTTCATTTTCCAATTTTCCATGGTGAGCATTATTTTGCAATTGGGAAAAAATGAAACATTTTAAAAAGAAGGAGGAGGAGGAGGAGCTGGGGTACCTCCCTGAGCCTGCCTGGGAGAGGGGACAAGTCACTGAAGTGGAGGAACAGGGCACACAGTGCAGGAGGAGAGAGGAGAGAGCAGGTGGAGATTTCTGGAGGGAGGTGGGGACAGGGCTGCTGCACTGAACAGCTCCAGCGGACAATATTCCTAGAGTGTTCTAGGAGAATGATACACTTTGGAGAGATGTGCAGGTCCGGGTGGCACCAAGATCAGCTCTTGGAGGAGTGTAGGCTCTAAGCGCACTTGGTGCTCTCTGGGGAACTGAGAGTGCTTGCCCAAGGACCCAGGGAAGCACAAACCAATAAAGGTGTGTGTGTGTGTGTGTGTGTGTGTGTGCACTTCCTGGACACCCATTCCCTGAGGAATCCTCACACATCCTTAATTCTTTGTTTTGGGGACCCATCACTTCTTCAGCTTCATCTCCTGTTACTTCCCCCTTCAGCCCTCTGCTCCAACTCACACTGACTGTCTTGACTATTTTGGACATGCCTTTGCCTCAGGGCCTTTGCACTGGCTGTTCCTCACGCTTGGAACACTCCTTCCCCACATATTCACGTGGCTTGCTCTGTGAATTTCTTCAGGTCTGTGCTTAAATGTTACCTGATCCGGAAGGCGTTCTCTAAAATCTGAAACCTCACTCCTATTGCCCTTCCCGGCCTTACTTTTCTTTACAGCATTTGGACCATCTGACGTAACATCGGTCTTCACCCAGTAAACTGCAAACTCCAGGAGGGCTGAGATTTTGCCTGTCGTGTGGACTGCTTCACATCTGGCACCCAAATTGGTGCATGGCACAAAGTATGTCCTCAGCACTTAACTGAATTAATGAATGCATGGATGGCATGTATTGCACACTGCTCCGCAAACTCTGCAAGTAAAGTGTGAAGCACCGTGGTGAGGCAGCGTTCAGGCTTCTATTCCAGCGCAGCCTGCGGGCTGGGGGGAGTAGTCTCTAATCAAGTCCCTAATCCCCGGCTGCAGCAGCGGCAAGGTAAACTTCACCATAACCCTGAGGGGTGTGTATTATTATTCAAATTTAGTGCACAGCTGGGTGGAGAGGTGGCCTCCCGGCTCCAGGCCTTGGAGGGAGGGGAGTAGACTGAAAGCCCCTATTTAAGCACTCGGGATAGGGCACTAATGCCTCCAGGCGACAAAGCAATTTAGGACTATAAGGGTGGGCTTCGAGGCGGCCCCTCCTCTTACTGCTTGTCTGAAGTTTTCTACAAAACGTGTGTGACGATAAAGAATCACTGTTTATGCATTAGCGAATCCCAACTGGGGTCCAAAACGGGGACGTTTGGTGCATCCAAGCAGCTAACCGCTTCCATGCCCAGAGCAGGTGCGGACCTGGGGGTGCGGGGGTTTGACTGTGAAGAATTCCGGGGTGCCCGGGGTGCAGCGGCGGATCTCAGGGCAGACGCGGGTGGGGGTGGCTCGCACCCAAAGGCAGCGGGGGGCTGCATCGACTGGGGAGAGAAAAGTGATCGCTAGCGACAGCACCTGTGCCTCCCCTACGGGTTAACGGCAGGTTGCTCGGCGTGAGGCGGCCACAGTCGGGTGCTCGCGGCCCGGCACACAGCAGGCGCTCACTCGAGACGCCGGGCTGGAGCGCGCCCCGGAGAAGCGCCCCTCAGGGGACCCGATTCCTGTCAGGACTCAGCTCCGGGCGCGCCCCGGGACCGCGGTGGCACCCCGCGCCCCGCTGCACCCGGGCCGAGCGGCCGGCGGCGGGCGGCGCGGGCCGGGGTCAAGGCCGGGGCGCGGCGGCGCGGGGAGGGGGAGGGCGGCCGGACGCGCGGGCCGCGATGGGATGTGACGAGCGCGCGCGGGGCATTGTGGGAGCCCGGGCCGCGGCGGCGACTGGTTCCAGGGCACTCGGCCGCGGAGCCCGGCGCAGGGGGCGAGCGCGGGGCGCGCGGGCGGGAAGCGAGGAGGCGGGCGGGCCAGCGAGGAGCGCGAGAGAAAAGGCGCGAGCGGCCGAGAGGGCTCCGGCCGAGACACCTTGCCGCCGCCGCCGAGCCGCCCGTAAGTGCCTCGCGGGCCCCGTCGCCGCGCGCGGCCCCCCGCCGCTCGGTCCTGCCCGCGGCCTGCCCGGGGGCGCGGGGCCTGGCGCGCCCGGCGGCTCTCCCGGCTGGGCTCGGGCCGCCGCGGCCACGCCGGGGCCTTGCGCGCGCACGGCGCCCTCCCGGGCCCTGCCCGGCCGCGCGGGGCTCCCCTCGGTTTTGTTCAGAAAGCAAACCCGGAAACCAACTTCTCTGGGAGACGCATCCCTCGCCCGCGCCCGGCGCTTTTGTGGGAAGGCGGCAGCGCGGGGCCCTCCCCGGCGACCCTTCCCGGGGCTGGCGCGGGCCGCGCCGAGGACGCCCGAGGCCTGGGCGCCCGGCAGCCGTCGTGTGCGGAGTTGCACTCGGGGAGGCGCCCGCCGGCCCGCGCGGCGCCGGCCCGGGCACAATAAGTCGGGCCCCAGGGAGCCGAGGTTTGGGTGTCCGGCTCAGTACCTGCTGGGACGGTAGGGCGGGGGTGGGCGCCACTCGCGGGACTAAAGCCGGACTGGGGGCTGGGGGTGTCCCGGGATGGGCTGGAGAGAGGCCGCGGAACCCCCGCTGCTCCTGATTGTCTCCGTGTTGGCCTTTTGTTTGCTTTGTGGTTGGAAGGGTTTTTGTTGTTTTTTGTTTTTTTAAGGTAACTCCAGCAGGCTGTAGGCTCCCTGGGAGAAGGCCGACTGGGAAGAGACTCACTGGGGGTGGGGTGGAGTGGGAGGTGAGTGCGCAGGATGCTGCTGGCTGTGTCACCTGACAACAGGTGTGCGAGATGGTGCTCCCTACCCCCACTCCTGCAGGGACCACAGAGCTCTCAAGGAACTGGTCAGTGGATTGCTTGCAAGATTCTTTTAGACAAGATGTTAGGAAAAATGTTTCCGAGTTTGAAAGTGAGAGACTTCTGTACATAAAGCTGAAACAAACCTTGAATTCAACGATTACAATTACCATAAAGTCCTTGTAAGATTTTAATGATCCAATAAACACCATATAAGAATAGACAATTGGACGGCCATTCTTGCTAGCTTCCTTTTTGTCCCACTTTTGTGGTTTGAGGTTTTACTCTTAAAGGTGGGTGGGGAGGGAGGAGGTGCTTTGTTCCAAGGCTCCCTGCTCCAGGGAGTTGGAAATTTTTGAACAGCCTTAGATTTGGTTGGGAGACTCAAGTTGTAAATTAGGCGGAATCCACCTACTGCAGGCCACCTTTAGCTTACTAGCCTGTTCCCAGAGATGGTATTAACTCCAAAATGGACCCCTCATGCCGCAACTGGAATTAATAGCCCTTGTACACAGTCAACCAAAATTGGGCAGCAGCATCTCAGTCTTGCACAAGAGGCTCTGATGAGGACGAATATGTTTTTAAACCTATTTCTTTCTTAAACGTGACAATGGCAAAACTCTAAAGACTTCAAATTCTTCCCCACTTTAGTTTTACAAGGAGAGAGTGTATTCTCTTCAGTCTGTTCTTTTGTTTCCGTCTGTTACCATTGTTAATGCTGATTCCTGCATAAGGCATGGGTGGGGACACACATAAATAAAAATTGTGAAAATTCAGGTAAGGATAGCTCACATTTTATTAAAATTTGAGAATTGTCTGGAACTTCCCGTGTGACATTCTAATACACAGCCATGTCACTGGCTTGGTTTTTACCGAATGGGCCAGGGCCAGGGAGTGGTATATCTCAGTCTGCTGCTTCTGGTCCCAGAGAGCATGGAACTTGGGGTGAGCCCCTCATTCCTGCCCCACTGAGAGGCTCAGAGAACATGTATTCTGGGACCTGCCTCTAATAACCTGTGGAGCTAATGCTACCCCAAGTCACTGGAAGGAGATTTATTTAAAAAAGAAACAAAAAACAAAAGCATAGACTGAAAATTTCAAGCTAAAAAACCCAACAAGAGTTATATGTGGTGTTCATCAGAATTTCAGCAGCCTCTCATTCTTATTTGAGTGTCCCCAAGGATTTGTTACAGGATTTTTAGAGCCCCATTCCTGGAACATGGGCTGGGAAGGGACATGAGTAAGTGGAGCCCAGACCTGTCCTTTGAGTCCTTCCCACATTCTGTAGGTTTAGAGATCCCCTGGGCCCTTCCTCAGCTCTTTGAGTGAGCCTGAATGGTTCAGCTCTTCATTCCAAAGAGTTGTATAGCTTGTTTGCTTGGATCAGCCCTGCCAGGTTGGTGTCTTACAGTCTTTCCATAGATACCTACTGGCAGTCAGCTCTGGTTCAGGCACTGGGGACACAGCCATGATTAAGAAATGCCCAGTCCCTGTCCTGGGGAAGCTGACATTAGGAGGATAAGAGAGGCAAGTGGCAGTTGTGAGGTCAGTGCAGGAGGCCACAGTAACCCCCAGCAGAGACAGTAACCTAGCCAAGACCAGAACCTTACTGGCATGGAAAAGTGAAATAATAGTTGGCTAGGCAAAGAGGGGCAGATGGGACAAGTGTTTGAGGCCTGGAGAACTGCATGTACAGATCTCAGAGGAAAAGAACAGTGGTTCTGGGGGTACTGCCAGAGGCTCAGAATGGCCAGGTTCCTGGGGAATCAGGTGAGGCTGCATGACAAAGGGACAAATCACAGAGGACCCTGAGCAGAACCACAACTTAGCCTAAGAATAGTGAGAGCCACCGAAAGCTTCTGAGCAGGAGAGAGACATGATCAGGTGTTCTTTTCTTATTGGGAAGGCTACATCTACTCAACAGATAATGAGTGGCTTCTAGGTGCTAAGCCTGTCCGCTGAAGCTCACCTCTTAACTTTTCCCTTGATGGCCTTCCACTGGAGTGGTTGTCTTAGAGTTTGGCACAACCTTTAAAAGAGAGCAAGTATGTAGGAAAGTTTCCTTGTGAAGCAGGCAGACAGTGACTTGCTGTTAAAATGTAGTGCTGGTCAGGAAGCATACCACGGAGTGAGTTTGCAGGGATGAAATTTCAATCCCAGACTGGCTTCCCGAAAACTGTTCCCTGCTTATGGTTAATGACACTTGTGTTTGGGTTTTGCTCCTCCCACAAGCTCCCCCCGCCCCCCAACACCCTCCACTAGAAACCTAAGACATGAGTGAGGAACATCTACTGAAACAAAATGCATGGTTTAGGATTTATTTGCTATCTCAGTTTGTCTCTTCTGTTTGCAATCCTCTGGTTCACTGAGAGTGGACCATAGGTTCTTTAATCATCTAGCTCACTTTGTGGGGTAGTGTTTTATGAATGGAGAGAAATGCTTTCCTGATTGGCTAGAGTATAAGAACATGTTTCTGTTCCAAGCCAATCAGAGTGCAGCTTCTGAACCCCAGCTCTGTGTGCAGTGGTTGTATGGTGTATCCGCATGCCTCGGAGGACATGACAGCAGTGACACCGTTAATCATTTGGTACGGTAGGAGCAAACGGAAGAGAGTGCTGTAAACAGGATTAGTGTCTGCCCTTCAGACTTAAATGGCTCAGGTTTGCTTTCATGACTGGAGTTGATGGGAAGGTGACAAATGCATGTGGCTATGTGGGCACGTATCCAGCCGCAGGGAACGGATGTGGCAGTCCTCCCTCATCAGTGGTATTTTGAGCACTGATAGCTCAGATTCCCTGGTCCTCAGGGGCTGGAGATAGGGCAGTCTAGCAGTTCCCCAGCAGTTCTAATCGATATTTCATTCGAGATCAATATGCACATATTCATTGCTTAGATAATGAAAGACTTCATGATGGACCATCCCAGTGGTCTCATGAGTACTCTGATTGTTTAAAGGTTTTCTATGCCATAGCTTGAACAGGGGTTGGTCTCTTACAGGTGTGAGGAAGGTAAGTATTTTCCTCTGGCCTATATTACTGAGCCAGAGGCCAGAGGAGAGGTGTTGTAGCCTTAGAATTATCACAGAGTTATAAGGCCTCTGTGTGACCCATGCCCAGCAGTCAGGACAACTGGAGTGTTCACTTCCTGGGGATTCCCAAGGTGGCTCCACAAGTTGGGAGGAAGGGCTGGAAATTGCATTTGCAGAATACTTCACATAAGACTGAGGAAAGTAGTTGAATATATTAAAGAATAGGGGCTGCCTGAGGGAGACCATAAGGCATCTTCATCTGGGCCCCGGGGATCACAGCAGACACATCCACTGGAGGAACTGGGAGGGATTCAGCCTGGTGGAGCTCTGGTTGCCGGAAGCAGGGAGAGAGGGGTTGGAAGTCAGCTGGGCCTCATGCAGAGGGCCAGAATCTGGGCACGGGGCTGCCCTAAACTAGACTGTGACTGGGGAACAGAAGGTATAGCCACAGCAAGAATGCAGAGGCGGGAGCTCCTTGATGGATCTGCATTGCCAGAGAAGGCGCTGGGACCACTAGGTAGGCTCACTCCAGACAGAGGGCTGGAGAGGTGTTCGAGACTGAGCGAGCTGCAGGTGCTGAAGGGTACAGGTGGGAATGAAGGTGGTTTGCACTGCAGTGAGCAGCCTGTTCGGGTGCCTGCTGGGTGTGGGGGGTATCCATGGCACTTTCATTTCTCACCCCTGCTGCCCCTCCTAGCAGCAGACAGCTTGCTGTTCTTACATCTGCCGTATTCACGGGTTCTTCACTGGCAGTCTTCTGTGGGGTCCTGTGCTGGGAGAACGGATTGCATTGTCCCAGCCACATCTTGATTGTTGAGGGGCCTGTGGACAGAGACTTTGCATCTCATTCAAGCCTGGCTCATCTTTCCAACAGCTCCTCTTCAACACTCTGTCTCTGGGTAAGCTTTGAGGCTCTGCAGACAAGGCTAATGTTTATTGTGAATGACTTAGTCGAAGGAGTTGCGGAGATAAAGACCACAGAGATCCCTTCAGGATCAGCCACAGAATCTTCATTTTCTAGGCTGATGACGGCCCAAAGGGCAGCTGAGCTAATGTGCAACGATGAACGGACCTGTCACTGTCTCCAGACCACGTGGGGCCATCAGGATGGGTGAGGCTTCCTGGTTTATGGAAGGAAGGACACATCTTTGTCAGTTTGACCAGATCAATAGCTATTCTCCTGTGACCAACTTCAGTGCCCTGCAGAGAAGCTGGGTGCTTAAGAAGCTGCTTTGCCTATGACGCAGGACTGTCTGTCACCCAGATCAGGCTGGATGCAGGACATGGGTCACACAGGGCCCAGAAGGCTTTGGCTAGTCACCCAGACACTGGCTTCAGGTTTGTCATGTGGCAGAGACTGTTTCCTCTTTTCCTCTGAGCAAATAAATAGCTGGAGTACATTTCCCAACCTCTCTTGCGATTAGATGTGGATGTGTGACCAAGTTCTAGTTGATGGCTCATCATCAGATGTGGTGTGCCCCACTCTTGGGCCTGGCCCCTTGAAAGCTTTGTGTGGTCTTTTCCTGTCCATGGCAACCCTGGGAGTCCTGCATGGAAGACGTCAGAGTCACAAGATGGGGGAGCCTGGATCCATGAATCACTACGTGGATGAGAAGTACCAGACCATCATGGAAACCCATTTTTCATGAGTGAGAAATAAGTTGTAGGGACATACCTGCTATAGCAGCTAGCACCACCTTCTCAATACAAATGTCCTAGTTCTGTTCTGTGAGAGGGTGACCTTTTTTCACCTTACACATACTGTTGTCATTTTTGTTAACTACTGAGCACTCAGTGAGTGAATATCAGCCCCTTACACACATGCTTTGATCCAATGTTGCCACCAATCCTTGGAGGTCCTTTGTGTCATCATCTCCACATGACAGATGAGAAAATAGGTTCAGAGGGGTTAAATCACTTGCCCAAGGACACACAGCCAGAAAGTGGCAGTGCCATGACTAGGACCAGGTGAGTCTGACTTTGGCTTTCTAAGTTACTAATCATGATGCTTAATGGCCACTTGCCTCTCAGCCACTCTCCACCCCCACTGGTGCCTGGCCAGAGCCGCCCGCGCACCTGCACAGACTTCTGAAGAGCAGGCCGGGCCTGGCACACTCACGGGCTTTTCTGGCTGGAGATTTCACAGCTATGAAGCGATTTTCCAAAAGATCTTTTAAAAGCCAGCACACGTTGGATGTCATGAGGCTGTGTGGCTTAGTCAGAATTCGTTCATAGCTGAGGCTGCCGCTTGGGAACTATAGTCAGAAGTGCAGACAGAACATGGGGAGGGGGAAAGAACAGAATCTCGGCAAGAAAAGCCCCATGGTGGGCACGCAGACCTGAGGCCGCAGTATTGGAGAGGAGCCTGACTCACTGAGAGGTGGAGACGTTCTGCCTGCAGATGGTGGTGGAGGACCCGCGATGTTTTAGACCTTCCCTGAGACACAGGGCCTGGGGGCGCGTTCACTGCAGTGCCTGGCGTTGAGCAGCGTGCGGTGCAGCTGTGCTGGAGAGACAGGCACACGGACGTGTGCCGGGACCTTCGCTCTGGGAACAGAGCAGTGAAACATTTCCGGGATGTGGTCAGGTTCAAGAAGTCTCCATGGCAGAGGGGCCATGTGAGTGTCAGTTCAGCAGGTTGACGAGAGGACAAAGGGCATTCCAGGCAGGAGAGACAGCACGGCCACAGACATCCTTGACATAGCATGACGGGCTCGGGAGGTCAGGCTGGCCTGGGGCCTTGTTCCCAGGCAGGGGTGGCAGGAAGCAGTGCTGTGGAAGTAGTTGAGGGATGATGTTTGTGGCTGGTGCGGGGGCTCGAGCTGACGGGGAACCGTCAGAGTAGGCAGAGGTGCCTGTGGCGTCTGCGGAGAAAGACGGGTGCCGGGAGGATAGGTGGGGACCAAGGCAGGGAGGGTGGTGAGAAGCGAAGAGGTTGGGGGGTTCTGCAGGTGAGTTCAGCAGAGCGTGGCTCATGCTGGGCTGTATGGTAAGCAGGCAAGTGGGCGCCAGGCCGGCACCTGCATGGGTAGCTTGGTGCATGGTGTTGCCACTGATGAGGCTGAGAGACCCAGAGGAGTTCAGGGTGCCTGTGGGACTTACAAGTGGGCCCTTGCCATGGGGTCAGGGCAGAGTTGCGCAGCTCAGCAGCCAGGTATGCGCTGGCGTGTGGACATAGAGACCCTTGGCTGGAGTCAGAGGAGGTGAAGACAAGGAGCACCACCTTAAGGAGTCACTGTGGCTCAGACCTGCCAGGCTCCTGAGTGCTGATGGCCGTCTGTGGAGGAGAGCTCTGCCCAGTCCCCACAGTCAGCCCCTGCCATGCCCAGCAGGTCTGCTGGAGACAAAGCTGAAGTCTGTGCTCCGTGGGAAAGGGGCTGAGCTGCTCTTAACCATCTCTGCCCACAGGCCTCCCCTGCTGAAAGAAGGGAGACGTTCAGATTGGAAAGCTCGTAGTCCAAAGGCGTTGGGTTGTCGGTCTGTGTGATGCATTTGTAGTTATGCTAAAGACTGCTCCGAAACCCGGGGACACATACCATACACACCCCAACACCCCCACACACCCTTTCCTGCTTACAGGGAGCATGGGCACCTGTTTGCAGGGAATATTTTTAAAATGTAGCTCATTACAGCAAGGAGTGGGTCCAACTATAGTGTGAGGAAAACTCAGGCCACTCTGGGTCTCTCTGTCACTCAGTGAGTAATTAAGAGTTGGTGCCCCTTGGCAGGATGCAGTGCAGGGTCTCCTCCATGGGGCCTTTACCTGCTTCCAACATCTCTCCGGAGCCCGGGCTTCAGCCACTTCACGGCTCGGCGTGCTCAGTCCTGCCATCGGCTGCCCGCACAGCTGACTCTGTCAGGCAGATGACTTGAAATGCTCTTGGGGTCATGGAGATGTTAGGTGTGGACCAAAGCAGTACCCCATATGTCCCCAGTATAGGGTTGAGCATCACAGTAACAAGAACTCCCAGCCCTGTGGTCTCCACCAGTCACAGCGGCATGGGCTGTTGGAGCTGGAGGGGCCGACGCCATGGAGTCTGACCTCAGTTTTTCAGTAAATGGGAGATCTACCCATTTGGTTTAGTGTCTGAGCATCGATGTTGCATAGGAAGATTTCTAGGGTGCTCCAGAACGTGCTGGGGCCCCTCATATCCCCTTTCCCAGGACCCTGTCTTGGCCTTTTGAAGTGCTCATCACGATTATCATTTACGTGACTTACTGTCCACGTCTGCCTAACATAGTCCCCAGAGTGAACCCGCGTATGAAAGAGTGCTTTTTGTAAACATTGGAGACCTCACTGAGTGGCGCTACGCTAGGAATACAGTCGGGCCACCCTCCAGCTGCCCACAGTCTGATGGGAGAGATGGGGACCTGCGTGTCATTGCTGTGGGCTGCAGTGCTTCGAGCCTGGAGGAGGGAGCAGCCAGAGCCCAGCACTCGGAAGGGTGGGCAGAGGGCAGGCGTGAGGGACAAAGGGGGCCCTGGCAAAAAGGAACAGCCACTGCAAAGGCAGGGAGAAAAGAAGTTGAAAGGCATTTGGGGAGAACCTCATGAGGCTTCCTGTGTCCAAGTTTAGACCACGAGTGGCCCAAGGTGAAGCTGGACAGGTGTGCCAAGCCTAGATTTCTAGGGCATTGCATGGCAGGCCAAGAGTGCTGGTTTTGTCTTGGGAATCGAGGCAGCCACAGAAAGCTGACAGGACCTATGCCTTCGAGGAGACCTGAGTGTACCTGGAAAGGGATCCTGACTGGCGTCCTCTTGCCTTCACAGTGTGCTTGCTGACCCGCCTCCAGGGCCACCACCATGTCGAGCCGAGGCGGGAAGAAGAAGTCTACCAAGACCTCCCGCTCTGCCAAGGCAGGAGTCATCTTCCCTGTGGGGCGGATGCTGCGGTACATTAAGAAAGGCCACCCCAAGTACAGGATCGGAGTGGGGGCCCCCGTGTACATGGCTGCGGTCCTGGAATACCTGACAGGTGAGTGTGCCCAAGTGAACCCAGATACCACTGGCTCAGCTGCAGCGGTTCGGATAGCTTTCCAAGGACCTTCTTTGTTTCTTTAATTTTGAAACATTTAAAGCCTACATAAAAGTTGCAAGAATAGTGCAGTGAACATTCTCGCCCAGATCCACCAGTTAACATTTCGCCCCATTTGCTTTCTCTCCCTTGACCCTGCGTGTGTGTGTGTGTGTGTGTGCGTGCGTGCGTGCACATACATGTGGGTGTGTCTGTGTTTATTTTTGGCTGTTATATATTATACAGTCCATTTTGAAATTTCCTCAATTGTTCCTGTAATGTCCTTTCTAATTTTGTTTGGTTTTCTTTCCCAATCCAGGATCCATTATTTCAGGATCACACATTGTATTTGACTGCCAGGTTTTATTAGTGTTATTTGATCTTGACAATTCTCCAGCTTTTAAAAAAAATTTTTCATGACACTGACATTTTTGAAGACTTCAGGCCAGTTGTGTTGCAGAAGGCCCTTCATTCTGGGTAGATTTGGGATTAGATGCAGGTGACACATGTGTCAGGAGATTCGCATGAGGAACGCTGAGTCCCCTGTGGGTAACATCAGGGCGTCTGCTGTGAGTTTGCCCCGTCCCTGGTGATGTCCCCTTTGCTCATTTAGTGGCATTTGCTGGATTTCTGTACATCCCATGTCAAAATCTTTCACCCAGTGGCTTCAGCAACCCTTGATGATTTTAACTGAATCTGTTATTACCATGGTTAAACCATTATAAAATGGTTTTTTCCATTTCTTTCATCCCTATGTTTCTCAGTTGGCATTCTTCTATAAATGAGAGCCTTCTCTCCTTTTTATTTTTGTACTATCACTGTTGGCTCATGGATTTTTTATTAATTTAATAAGTACCTCTATTCATGTCATTACTACTTTTAATGCTCAAATTATCTCAAATTTGACCTGTAAGCCGGTCCTTTTGCCATGTCCCCCTTGATTTCTGTACATTCCTTTGCTTTCTAACACAATAAGATACTCCACCCTCACCCTGGACTTTCCTTGCTCCAATCTTGGAATCAGCTCTCTCTCGAAGGGGTCCTTGGTTCTTTTCACAGACAAAATCTTATTTGTGGCTCTATAGCAATTGTGGGCAGCCAGCTGGGGAGGGATGGGTGTGACCCCATTTTTAGGGATGAGAAGACAAGGCCTCAAAGCAATCAAGGACTTGTCTGGGCTTGCATACAACCTGTAGGCGCTTGTGAGAGGCCCATATCCTGCTGTCCTGGGAGCTGCAGTGCTTTTACCACTTACTGCCTGAGACGTGATCAGGGAGGTCTGTAGGCATAAGGAGGGAGTATCTGATTCTGGCAGCCACCTCTCCTACTGCCAGAAAGGGGAGATCGGCAAGGCAGATGCCTCTGCCGATGTGGTGCAGCGGGCAGTGGAAGAGCTGGATCTCTTCCTGCTCTCCCAGGCCCTCAGTTAGGCAAGGCCAAGAATTCCCCCATAGTGAACATGTTCATCAGGGAGGTAAAGTTTCTGTGTTCTACTGAAAGCATTTAGGCATGAAAAGTAATTGTGCTAGATTTATAAGATGTTTGCACGTATTTTGGGACTTTTGACTTTCTGCTTGGCAGAGACTTGTATAGGTGGTGTGCCTGGTAGTGTGAGCTAATAAGCAGGAGTCTTCTCACTGTGTATTAATAGATGAGAAAGCAGAGGCCCAGAATTTAGGTGACACACCCAGGAAAGCTATGTATAGCATTGGCAGTCAGCAAGGGAGACCAGGGGAGAAGGCACTAGATGGGAAGCAGAGGACATTCTTGTTTTTGCCTCACGGTTTACATGCTGTGTGACCTAGAGTGAATCACTTAACTCTTCTGGGCCCCAATTTCCTTACAACTCAGATGGAGACATCTGTTCCTACGCCACCAACTACAGGCTGCTGTGAGAGCCAAAGGGGAAATGCTTGAGCATGATGGGGAGCATAATGGGTTTGCTGTGCAAACCCAGCCAGCCCACTTTCTCCCACTCCTGAACGCCATGATGCCGGATACTGGGGTGTTCACGACACTGTCGTTACGTAGAGTACAGCATCGGTCTCGTTCTTCCATCTAGCTTGCTCCTTTTTGTCTGCAGGGTGTGGGGGGAATACCATTGCTCCACCACATCCCAGGCAGCTACTGCCTGTGCCACACAGAAGGTCTGTACGATTCCCTCGTCTGTGCCTGGCTGGTTCTGAATCTGAGCCCAGTGCTCATGAGGTAGAGGTCAGAGGTCCATTCTTATGGGGCTGGGGCCTCGACTCAGTTGTACCCACATCTGTCTCCCTGTCCCTGGCCATCATGATCACGGGGAGCGGGACTGGTCAGGGCAGCCCATCACTGTTGCTGGGAAAGAAGCTCAAAGCAGATCCTCAGTCCGGCATCAGCTACGTCGACTCTCGTGTGTTAAAGAACGATATATATTTTTGAGTTTTGTAAGGTCTTCCCAGCAGGGCTGTAGTTAGCGGAATCTGATCCATTTCCTCTGCCTGCCTGCAGCACTGGGCACTGGCACAACCATGCCTGTCCCCAACGTGGAGCTGGTCTGAGTGACCTCAGGAGAACGTCCTGAGTGGTGAGTGCTGTGCCCAGTCACTGCTGTGCTCACTTGTGTCCTGTTTCCTGGCGGGAGGGGGGTGGACTCTGGGCCACATCTGGTGAGAACATCTCCCTGTCGCACCCTCAGTGGAGCAGCTGTGTTGCTCACCACTCCTGGGAGCACCACGTGAGAGCCCACGTGAAGTAGCTGAGCCAGGCCTTCTGCCCAGAACGCCCCAGGGGAGAGGGACAGGGGTCTGGATGCTCAGGGGTTGCTAAGGACCACTGAGCTGCGGGGCCCACCTAGGAGCAGGTGCTTCTGACGGAGGGAGCTGGCATCTCCTTGGGGACCAGCCGTGGGGACTCCTTGGGGTCCACTGTGCTCTAGAGCTGGGCAGTTAAGCCTCGGTGCCAGGGCTGCCACTTCTTACTTGTGGCCTTAGGATGTCTCCATGCTGCTATTTTATCATCTGTAAAGTGAGGGTCACAGTGACTGTCTTGCAGGGTTATCACGAGGCTAAAGTGACAGCACGCGTGTTCCAGGCTCACACGTGGTAAATGCCCAAAGGTTAACTATCAACATTAGGGTTAAAGTACAGAGAGGAAGGACGTCCCTAGTAGCCTGCTCTGGCTGCTGAGGTGACTGAGGGTTGTCCATTTCCCGTAGGGACTTTAGTGGGAGTTGTCGCTGCCCACCCATTTGGACCTGTCTTCTTTTCGACTGGTCCAAAACTGCTGGGCCTCCCAGGCTTCTGCAGAATGTCCTGGCAGCTTCAGGCCTATTCCCTCAGGGTTCTTTCAAGTGGCTGCTTGACTCTCCTAAAGCCTTCATTACCGAACACCTAAAGATGCCCTGTTGCCAAATTCTGTGTGGGGTCAAAGTCCCCTTCCCTTGTGTCCTGAGCTCCTGGCACATTTGTGGAAGCCATGAAGGATTTTCCAGGTCAGCAGGAGCTGAGTGTGCCGAGGCCTGGGCCTGTTAGGTCAGACCTGAGGCCCAGCCAGCCCTAGCGTGTGTAGCCCAGCAGCCCGGCAGGCCAGGGCCACCTGAGCCCAGTTACCCTGTCTCCCGTGAAGAGCACATTCTCAGGTTCGGGGAATACACAAGCGCTCCTTAGGGTCTCCTAGAGGCTGGAGGGTTGTGGGGAAGAGGTTGTGGCTGTGTCTTGCTCTGAACCTTGAAGCCGGCCTCAGTTTTTCTTCTCTGGTGCGGAGCCCAATCATTTGCTGAACTTAAAAGGAAAAGGCAACCTCTGGAATAAGCTTGTTTCTGGTGACCAGATAATTTTTTGCCCAAATCTCTGTGTATCCAGCTCTGGAGCCCTGCCAGACTCTTCCCAGAGCTCTTCCCAAGGAATGTGCTACCGTCTGCTTGTCTGTGCAGTGCTCCGGATGGTCTGGGCCCTACTCTGTTCTCCTGCCACTGGCCCTTGACCTTCTAGCTTAGGGGATTGTAGTAGTCTCACTTTGGAGTCACTATACGGATTGATCATGCATCTAAAGCATTTAGCTGGCATTCATAGTAAATAATGAATGGCAGATAAAAAATAAGTGTTATCATGGGGGAAACTGAGGCAGGTAGGAGCAGCCTCTTCCCAGCCATCGTCTCCCCCTGCCCCCCTGCCAGGACCCCTGCCAAGTCCCGGGGTACTTTTTGACTTTAGTTTGGTTTGGAAAGCTTCTGTGGAGCCTCTTCCCTGAGACTAGCAGAGTGTTGAGAGGGCTGGGTGTAGGGACTATGACGTCAGAGCATGTTACGTGGCTTTGCCCACTGGAATCTCCACTGATGTTGGAGATGCACAAGCCCACAGAACAGGATGGGACCAGGCAGAACTGGGGAGTAAGTTAGCAGTACCTGAGGCCCACAGGTACGTGGGAAGTGTGTGGAGGAGCAAAGAGTAAACCTAACAGTGATTTGATGGCCTTAAATTATAGAGCCACAGTGCTCTGGGTGAGCATTGCTCAAACTGTATTCAGCAGAACCTAGGTGTTTAAGGGGTTTTCTACCAAAACACAGGGGTCTGTGGCTGAAATCGGGATGACTATATTCATATTCCTTCTTTTGAGATGACTATGAATAGCTTTAATTAGTTCATCAGTAAAGGCACTTGTTTTAGTTTGGAAACCACCGAGTTAATCAGTTTTCTTTACTGCAGGACTTTTCAGAGCCTTTGACATACTGGTATCACCATGAATCCCCAAGGAAAGGAAATGTAATATGTAGTGGTTCCCAAATTTTTATCACAAAAACCTTTCAGGGAACACCTATATAAATACTTTGTATGATATAGTTTAGGGGACACTGTTGTAGGTTAAGCCCATGAGAAATGACATTATGATTAAATGAAGAAACAAAATAAAAAGTCACCTTAAGGTGTGAACTCAGGTCTGGTTTATCATGGCATGGAAGCATGAATCTGACTAAAATAGTTAAG